AGAGAGAGAGAGAGAGAGAGAGAGAGAGAGAGAGAGAGAGAGAGAGAGAGAGAAAGTTCTCAAGATTGTAAAAGCTATATAAGTAAATATTAATGTATTTGTTCCAAGGTTATTAATAAAAAATTAACTTAAAAACAGATCAGTTGGCTTCATTTGTGGGGACAGTGGGTTGCAGTGTCAGGGAGTGGGTGACTAAGCCAGCCACACTCTTACCTGATGAGCCAGGAAGAAGAGGACTAAAAGGCCAGGGTCCCACAGTCTCTTTCAAGAACTTTATCAATGACCCAAGAACTTAGCCCTCAGCCCGACCACTGACCATTGTCACGTTCTCCTATAGCACTTTAGCATAGGGTTTGGGAAGATACTCAGTTCCAAGCTTTAGGACCAACAAATTGACCTATCATATTTACTTGCTACTAAAAGTTATGTGACCCAGCTCTATTGTATTAGACCACTCTGACATTATTAAATATTCATAGGTGAAATATGGACTGTTTGCTTCTTCTGTGTTCATTCTTCAATTTTAAGGTGACTTACAATAAAGTAGGGATTGACATTTACAAATGCAAATTAACCTTACTATACCCATCTGTATAATAATGCTTGTTGACTTACACTGTAAGTTCTGTAAATGTCTTGAATCAAGTCTCAGTTTCTTTGCCATCTTGCTTTGTGTCTCTGGGAAAATTACTTAAACTTGTACTTGAATTTTCCTGATTTATAAAAGTAGTTGAATTTTGTGAGGTGATCAGCATAATGCTTATTGTGTACTAAGTGTTCCACATATCTCAATTGGGAGGATAATGAACTAAGTTATCTCTAAATTCCCCCTCTGTCTCTCCCTTTCGAACCACCCACCCAATCACAGCAACAAAGAAGTCATTTAGGCAGTGAACTTCAGGCTTATTTTGGAATGGATATGCAGTACAATAAGAAAAATATGTTGGCAGCTATGATTTTTGTGGTGTGTGTGTGTGTGTGTGTGTATTCTCATGTGGATGTGTGTGTGTGTGCTGAGTGTGTGCCATTAAACACTTAATGTTGATGTTGGCTGTCTTTCCCCATCATTCTCCACTTTATTTATTAAGGTAAGGCCTTGAAGAACCTGGAGCTCCCTGATTTGAGTTAGTCTAGGTAGTCACCTTGCCCTATGGGTACCATGTCTGCTGCATTCCAAGTGTCAGGGTTATAGACAGCCACCACATGTCTCCAGCTTCTGTAAGGGTTGGGAGAGCCAAATTCTGGTCCTCACATGTATCCTACAGTGTTTTATGTTGGAGCCATCTCGCCAGCCCTCCTGATCTTTTATTCCATCCATCAGTCCGTATAGCTTACTGGACTGTGAGTGTGGGTCAGCGGTACATAGAATGACCTGTATAGAATGTATTCAAGACCTACATTCCATACTGAGCAATACCAAAAGGTTAAGATTTCACTAACTCTGGTTTTCGTGTCTATTTATCAATCTTATATACTACTTCCTTTTTGTTCCTCATTTATTTCTACTTTGATTATTTTTTTGTATGTGTATTCTTTACTTTTTTTCCCTTTAAAAGACTGTTGCATATTTGATCTTTGCTTTCTACAGCCCCTCTTGTGGATGAGCAGAGTGGGGCAAACTATACATGGAGTGTCTGACTGATGCTGGCCCTTAAGTAAAGTAATTGATTTGCTTCAGTGGCTAGTTAGGTAGGCATCCTAGGTATTGGCAGGCAAACAGCCGAACAACTGAGTGCAGAGTGGTACCCGAGTTAGGAAATCTGTATCCTTTTCAACAGAATGCACTGGAATTCAGAGTGACAAGGCAGAATAACACCGAGGAAAACATTTATCATTAGTTAGCTTTGTTCCATAATTAATTAATATGTCAGAGTACAGAGTAACCAATGAACATTTCTCCCTTGAACAAGTATATTAACAGAATCATTCAATGTATAGTCTTTTCATTTTTAATTTGAATTTCAGATATTTTGTGCCTCCATCTAGTTTGAATGTACCCATGAGACGTGGAAATATTTTGTCAAGTAGATGATTGTGAGAAAGCTGGATAATTTTGTAGTAAGAATGCTCTTTCAGAAATGCCAACATTAGGGAGCATGCATGAATAGTCACTGGTATGAAACAATGTGGGTAGTTGCGTCTGTGACTTGCTATTTTATGTCTAATGTACTCTAGACTGATGTTTTGATTTGGTGTAATTTTTTTGTCCACTTTAGCAGTTTTAGCTAATGTAACAAATAAATACATTAAGTAACATAAAGGCTATTATTGGATGAGTCCATGTGTGTTGTAGTCCTCACTGCATTTCTGCACTCTGCTCTGCAAAGGCATTATGTGCATCTGTGGATTAGGAAGTTGAGAGATAGAATGAATAATTCTTTGAAGGTCATAGTGAGGATGATAGAGCTGGCATATGTCCTGACGTGGAAGTAGAAATCTTAATTCTCATTGTGCCTCAGATGTTCTTGTGGTCCTAAAGTAAATTAACTAGCTAACCACTCTACCCACCCACACATTTCCTTTGGCAGACTGGGCTTACTATATTTGCAGTAGGGTAGGCACTCTTACATACTACCAGGGTCCGAATTACTTGATCTAAATTGTATGTTCTTCTCATGCTGTATTTCGTGATCATTCCTCTCCCTCCTCTCTGTCTCTCTCTCACACACACACCATATCCATTCTTTAAAATGTAAGCTTTTTGTTATTTACTCTGATACCTCCCTATCCACCCTCTGTCCATAGGGCCATGCTGATGGACCCTCTGAGGTTGGCTACAGACAAAGGGAAAGGAATGAAAATAGGAACTCTGGGAGGGATGACTTCTTACACTGTGTACAAAGATGTTCTAAGGCATAGTGATTACAGTTTGATAGTTATGTCAAGAGTTTGTATTTATTACCTGTAGGTGACTGTATTAGTTTTTACAGGGAAGTTTTGTATAGGACTGTCTGTAGCACAAGAATAGAAGCTTTCTTGACCTTGATGCAACTGACTTCTGGATTTAAGGAGTTTTCTATGACAAACTACTAATTGACACCCAAGATAAAGACAGTTCTCAAGGCTAGGAGGCTACCTCTGTGTCTGCTCCAATGAGGGAGAGCTTCTTTTATATTCTTTGCTTCTAGTAGTCAGTTTTTTTTAGTTTTGTTTATTTTTAAGTCTGTTTTTGTCTATCATAGTTTATATTCTTATAAAGTATTTCTCCATAGTATAAATTGTTAAAATCTGAATTACACAACAGGTTTGTTTAAAAAAATTGAAAGTGTCTACTTTAAGTAGATTTACCAAAGCTAGTCTTTCTAGTTTTCCATCTTGTCCACTGTAGATGATTGAAAAACAAAAATAAGAATTTTTGGTGTATATATTATAGGAGACTGAAGCCCAGAGTTTTATGCAAACTTGGCAAGCTTGTAACACAAGCTACATCCTTAGCCTTTGGATTTCGAAAGTCAAGTCTCCAGCTGATGTCAACTTTGGACTCTTCATGCCTCTGCCTGCTGAGTGCTGAGATTACAGGTGTGCATCACCACATCAACTTGTAAGCCTCCCAGGGCTGCATTTGTGTCTCATTGTTAGTGTCTTTTACAGTTCCGCAGGGCAAGGCTGGTGTGGAAATCTTATAGTTGGATAGCTATGGCTGCGTTTCACTCATGAAAAACAACTCTGAGCTCCAGGTAACAGGCCTAAGCTCAAAGAGCATGTCTTTGCCTAATATCAAAAGACCAGTGGTAGTTCAGTGGTAGATCATTAGTTTTTCATGAGGGAGACCCGGAGATTGATGCATAGCAAGAAAAGAAAGGTATACAAAATAGAGTGTAACTTACGTTGCATTTGCTTTTGCATTAAGCAGAACTTCACGGCATGCTTTGCTAGAATACAAAGTGGTCTCTACATTCAAATGATGGTTTTTACACAGAGGGCTAGAGTTTATTAAAACTCACCAAATGATTTAAACTTCTCTTTTTACTTTTATTAGCTACTAGAAATAGAATAGCAGTGTGTTAAAATTACATTCTTATCTGAAGTTAATGAAAGTATAATGCATATAACAGTACCTCACAGAAGATTCTGGAAATGTGAGTTTTTTGTTATGTTTTGCTCTTAGTGTTCTAAGAGAATAGGGCTAGGGATATAACCTAGTAGAACATGTACTTCCCATGCATAAAATCCAGGTTCATCCGAGCACTGGGAAAAGGAAGTAGGAAGTGAGAAGAGGACAAATGAAGACCATGGAGCCAGGATGGATATCCGGGTTGTATTCTCCTAGTCTCTCGTATACACAGATGACACGTTAATTAACTTTTGTGCTTCATTTTCCTTGTCTGTCTACTTTAAACAGGGAATAATAATGTATTCTTCCTGGATTATGGCATCTAAATAAATTATATGACATTTACAGTAATACCCAACACATAATTAATTAGTTCATGTATACTTTTACATAAGCAAAGTCTTAAAGTCTCCATCCACACTAATCAAAAAGCATTGGGACACTGATTGTTATTTTCATGTTGCATCAAGCAGCATGGTTATAGAGTCAGTTCTTGATTATATTTTTTTGTTTCAACATGACACTATGGCATTAAAAAATGACAGAATAAAAGGATATTTCAAAATCGGAGAAAAATCAGTACTCTGGAGATCACCTACCATTTTCCTCTTGTTACTTTAAGAGGAACAAAACAGTTTGGGTCAAAGTAAGGTTATATTAACCTTAAACTATCTTGTTTTTGTTTATTGCTGATTTTAATGCCTTATGCTTTTTTCTCCCTTTCTTTTTTTTTTTTTTGGAGGAGCTGTTTTCCTGGTTATTTTAAAACTACAATCTATAAGACTTTGTGACTATAAAAAAGAAAAAATAAAGCCCTGATTTGTCTCAGTCTCATTAAGTGCCCTGAACTGAATATCAGGTCGTCAGAATATTTACTAGTTAGATAATCTAAAAGTTTCTTTTAAAAATACCCACGCTAAAACTTCCTTAATGGGACCGATGGCAGCTTTGGTCGCCCGGGAGTGGAGTGTTATTGCCAGCATGAGAGTGGAGCAGCACTAATCCAACTCCAGTTCCTGATTAACGAGGTGAGTGACTGTGTTTGTCCCTCCTGCTCAGAGCCCAAAGTAGAACATGTCTACGTCTTTCTCAGATTGCTTGCGTGTAGTCCTCTCTAAGTATTTGAATAAACATGTAGTTTCTCGTGGTCATAGGTAGTCCTAACTCATTTTAAGATGCCACCACAGATAGTCACCCAATATGTTTTCTTGGAATAATGTTGCAAGTAGAATAGTGTGAGTACATGTTTTTGATACCCGATGGTGTATTTTAACTATTGTTTCCAGGATTTGGATAGTTACAAAGCATCACAGAGTCTGTATTGAGATAATGTTCAATACAGAGCTCATTATTGGTAAGAGACTGTGTTTTAACAGAGTGCTTCAGAATATACCCATGGAAGTTGCTTATTGGTTTTGTTTTCGAGAATGGAGTGTGAAAGGAGCTAGAGAAAATACCATAGGAAACGGCTTGCAGGGAGACTGTTTGGGAAAGGCTCCACTTTCTTTATATCGGAAGACTGTCTCTAGACATTCCCTAAGGAGTAAGTCCCAAAGGATGTGTGAGAAAGATGGGCCAGTGAGATGGACAGAGGCATCTTAATATATTTAGACATGTTACTAAATCAGCCCCTTAGTCTGAAATTGTTATCCCTCTATGTATCACTGTCTTCTCTGGGACTTTCATAGAAACACACTTGCAGAGGTCCTTGTTCTGTAAATTCTGACTTGTTAGGCCTGGGCAAGACTGAGCCACCTGCAAAGTGCTCGGGCTACTCACTTTCTTAGTTGTGAATGATCATATAAACTAGCAGGGTGTTGTAATGTGACCAGTCATTCAGGGTTTTCCATCTTGTTCAGAGTTGAATAGTGTCGTTATTCTGTTATAATCTAAATAAAGGACTTCTATTACTGTTTATCATACATAAATAAAATGTGGTCACTTTATCTTATTTTTTCTTTTTAGTAAAGAAAGTAACTATACTAATGACCAAATGATTTGGGGTCTGACATCTAATAATTTTAGAGATTTTTTAGCCCTCACACCAGATCCTCAATATACTTTTGAATTATAAGGTGTTAAAATTACTGAAGAGTTAAAACACTAGTAGATACACACAGACACACACACACACACACAGACACACACAGACACACATGCACACACACACAGACACACACACACAGACACACACAGACACACACACACAGACACACACACACACACACAGACACACACACACAGACACACACACACACAGACACACACACACACACACACACACACACAATACTCTTCTACATCTGCTATTGAATTTGGGTGAGGCAAATATTTCCTAAAACTATAATTTGTTGACAAAAAGTTTTCAAATTGAAACTATTTTGGCAGCTTTGTGGAAACACTGTTGTAAAATTGTTACATATAAACTACATTGTGATATATATATGTATAAGATACATTTTATTTTCAAGGGAGCCCTCGTGAGTGCCTTGGCTGATGACACCTTACACTTGTGGAATTTACGTCAGAAAAGGCCTGCCATACTACATTCACTTAAATTTTGCAGAGAAAGGTAAGGATGCTGTTTTCATATAAATAGAACATTTGCTATTCTGTTGTGATGCACTTTTTTGAACAATATTCTTTTGGGGTGTGTTATACTTAAGAAGTAATTTCAATGTCACAGGATAGCGATGACAGCAGAGTTCTTCCTTCCTGAGAAGAATTGTATAAATTATTCTTTTTTTTTAAAGTCGTTACAGTATAGGTATAAAGGTGAAAAAATCTCTTTGTAGCTCCTATTTTTCTTTTTCATAAGAAAAGACTTTGCATCCATCTTTCTTAAGCTGTTTCACTAACTACATACCTGAAAGGTTATCTTATATCAGCACCTTTACATGTCTCGGTCATTTCACTGTCATATTGCATGGGAGTGTCAGAGTATGTTCAGTAAATCTTCATCATGTCCTTACAGCAGTCTCAGCATTTATAGGATTTTCAGAGTGTTGTTCATCATGATTTATTGTACTGTGCCATCACAATATATGTATATATTTGCATATGTAAATATTTCTAAAAGATACATTTATAGAAGTAGAACAGCTGGTCTAAAAATTTCTCATAAGATTTGTGAACTTTAGGCATCAACTGAAGAGATCTTCATCCCAATTTTATTAAAGACTGTCCTCCAAATATTTTCATACAACTCTTAAGTTTTCATCATTATGCTTTATCTTTGATTCATACGGAACTTACTTTTGGCATGAAATATGAATTGGTATGTAATCTACAGAGTCTATGAGACTGTTTCTAGATTGTGTATGTGTGTGTACGTGTGGTAGTAATAGTAGTAGTTGGCATTTAAGATAAAGTCACTTCTTTTCTCCTAGGAAGATGAGTGTCTTGATGAGTGTTGTATTTGCCTGTCAGATTGTATATACAGGTCAGTCTTTTACTCTGGGTGTCTGCCCCCAATAGCCTTCCATACTAGGGCAAGGCAAGCTAAAGTGGCCTCTGAAAATACAACATCTCATAGTGCCACCAGTGTGAGGTATAAGTGCATTAAGTGAGTGGGAATACAGAGCACACATAGGGAGAGGTCAGTGACTCTTTGTTGTCCACATCTGACTGGGGAGATAAAACACATCACTTATGCCAGTTCAGTCATGCTTGCTTCAAGAAGGCGAGAAGTGAAGAGACGCTGTAGCAAAGTCTTAGGGAAAACAAAGAAACAAAAAGTAAAGGTTCAGTTATATTCTACCTCCTGAGTATCAGTCTAACCTCTTGACTTCTGCACAGAGTTCTTTAGTCTGTTTGTCAATGGGATCTCAGGGAAGCTCTATGTCAGGTTCCATGTCATAGAATATACATCAGGTGGACATTTGGTTCTAGTACTTACTCTCTCATGAGTGCCATGGTGAATCTAGCAGGATGGCGTTTGGCAGTGTTGACAGACGGCTTTCAGTGTTACAGGTAGGAGGAGTACTGCTGGTTTCTAGTGGGTAAATGTTAGAGATTCTACTGTCCCTGCTACAGTGCATAAGATGGTACCCACAACAAAGAGTCATATAGTCCAAAATATCAGGAGAATCAAAAGCAAGAAACCCTGAATTGCAGCAAGTCAAAATGATGACATATGATAATAGTAGTGATGTAGAAGTTCTTGTAAACTACTGTTCGTTAGAGAGAGCTTACCAGGAGCAAGAATTCTAGCAGAAGGGTATCTCTGATACCTCATTTGTCAGTGACATGCCCATGTTTTCAATTGGTCAGAGGAGTATGGCGGTACATTGTCCAGGCTCACAAGCATGTTCAGTGTGGGATACCTATTAAATACTCTTAATGAAATAACTAAACATCAAGGGATCCAGTGGTAAGAACTGATGGTAATCAAATATGGAGGTTGTTTGCATGACAGTTTTGATATAGAGTTCTTGTGTACTTGGCCAGTCCAGTCCTAGAATGCTGCCCCATAGATGCAGGCTCTGTGATATTGTAGAAATTAGGAGGTGGAACCTAACGGGGAAAGGTAGGTCATTAGGTGTGGAGTTTTATTATATTATCCCTTACCTCTTGTTGCTTGCTCTGCTTCCTATTCCACACGAAGTAAAGAACTTCCTCTGTCACATGCTCCTTCAGCCATCATGTTCTATCCAAGCTCATGGGGCCAACCTTCTGTGAACTGAACCTTTGAAACTGTGAGCACAAATGAGTCTGTCCTCCCTTAATTTGTTTTAATCAGGTACTTTGGTCATAGCAATGAAAGTTAGCTAACACTGAGTTTCCAAAAAATTGTGGTAGACATTGATGAGGAATGGCAAGCCAGTCTAAGATGTATTGGCAGATAAAAGTCCCTTGGTGAGAAGTGCACATATTGGCAATTTTCAGTAAATGAAGCCTGGTGTGTGTTGTCTACTCCTCCCCTGCCCGTGACTGGGCACTGTTATGTAAGGCACAGCTTGGCAGCTTGCACAGTTGTATTCTACAGTTGTAAAACTGACAACTGAAGTGAACTGAGGGAATTCCCAATTCTAGACCTGTAAGATGGTTATCCATGTAACTCCCAGAGGCTGATTAAGCCTGTTCAAAGTTCAGATCCCCCAAAGTGTCTAGGAGGCAGAAGTAAATGAGACATTGAGGCAGAACTGAACATTTTTGAATACATCCTTTGAAAGATTCCCTATGATGGCTTTGGACAGCTGGAGAGATAGAACCTAACTAGCAGTGGGCCCTGGTCTTCACAGACAGACCTTGTCTGGTACCCAGTCCTCATGTGGCTGCCAGGTGAGAGGTACTGCACCAGGAGTCTAGTTTCCCTCAGCAGCTGGCTCTGACAGGGAGAGTGGGATAAAGGGTTTGCCTTGCTATGAGGATGCCCACTCCAACAGCCTGTTTCCCCTGAATGCTTGGCACTCAGATATTCTATGATACTCTGAAGATTTCTATCCAAGTAGCTTTCCCTGAATGGGGAGAGGCAAAAAGGGGGCAAAATCTGCAATGCTGTGCCTATCCTTCCATCTTTCATTTGTAGGAATCTCTTTTTCTTTGCTAAGTGTTTTATATTTGATGTTTAGATTCTGTGTCACACAGGGTGTAGCGGTAGTGACAAATACTCTCAAGTCTCAGTGACTCTCTTCAGCATTGTATTTTGCTACTCTGTGCATCCTCTGTGGACTTGTTGGGAATGCTGCTCCTTATTGTCCTCTTCTCCCCGGAATCTCTGAGGAGCAGTCAGTCTGTACAATATTGTCAGTTCCCGAAGCTAAAGGGAAAGAGCATGCTAACACCATTGACCCTTGAGGAAGTCCTACCTTGAAGTGATACTCACCTCTTGTACTCTTACTTCAAGGGCCAGAGCATATCATGTGACTAGCCCTAACTTGAGTGGTAGACCCAGCAAAAGAGAAATATGCAGCAGTGGGTGGTGGTGACCACACTGCAGCGGTGGGTGATGACGACCATGCTGCTTACTTGAACAATTGGCATTGATTATACTTCTGAGAATAGGAGCCCAGTTTGCTCTCATTCCAGTATGAATTTGAGTTAACTCAGTTAAATTACTATTCTTTCTTTCTGAAACGAAGGTAGGAAAAATATGAAAAATGCACTAAATACTATTTGTAAGATTCTTTAGATTTTTTACCCTAAGCCTGTATGTTTTGTGCATTGTTTTGTCTTCAGTAATACATTATATTTTAGTGAAAATTTCTGTATATATAATAGAAATTCTATATAATAAGTAAAATTATTTTCATAATATGCATTTTTATTATAGTTCATTTAATTTTTGAATTATAGTATATAAGAGTACCACTTTTTCAGAAATTTAGCTTACAGTTAATGTTAAACATGCAGTTTTGCACAAATCCTTAACACGAATATGTTTTGGTAGGTTGTGTTTTGGTGGTGTTTAAGAAAAAATAAAACAGGTCGTTGAGTGTCAAGTCTTGGCTTACCTCTACAGACTTGAAAATTACTTGGTTGCTTTGTGTGATGTTTTTTAATTTACAGAAAAATGTCCTTTAAGTCTCATTGTATTTGCTGTTTGATTACTCTTAAATGCTGTGTTTTTGTTTTTTTCCAATTTTCCCATTCACTCTGAGGATAGTTGTAGAACATAAATTTTAGTACTGACTGCTGAGCAGGTATTTGGGGTAATAAACAAGAAGGACATGGATCTTACTTTTAAGATATCGGTCAAGGCTAAGAAGACTGATTAAATTTCCCAGATGCCCAATTAAATGTCACTTATTCATACTGAGTGAATAAATATGCACTTCAGTTTTCAGAGAATGACTTTTTGATATTGTGTATGGAGAACTTCAGGAATGTTCTGGCTGAGCAATCACCTGATTACCCACAGGCGACTGAAACACCAGAACTGCATTTCCCTACTGTTCCTAGGGTGGTTTCTTCTAAAGACGTAGCTTGTGGATGGGCAGCTGGCTGTCTTCTCCCTGTCTTCCATGGTTTCCCTAGTTTCTTATGAGAACACCAGCCACACAGGATTGGGGCTGATACTGTGACATCTTCTCGGTGACATCTTCCAAACATGTCACATTCTTCTCTGTTATGGAACAGGGATGGCTAGGACTTTAGCATATAATGGAGGCTGAATGATCATAAACGAAAAGTAGTTTGCAGCTAACCAGAGTTCAGGGTAGAAGTGAACACTGCAATGAAAAAGTACACATATTTTCAAAATTCAGAGAAAAGACTCAAGTTTTTTTTTCTATAATTAGTATGTCATTTCTTATGCTGTCACCAAGTTCAGAGCCCATTGGAGAGTAATCTGCCATGAACTTTTTAACACAGGAATTCATTTGCCAGTAGTGTGAGCCAGAGCATCAAAAGTAATCGGTAAAGTGATATGTATTTATTAGGGAGTGCTTTGGTGTGGTTTTTAGTGCTCTGACCCCTGTTACAAATTGAACTGTATCTCCCAAAATAGTGTTCAAGTTCTCACCTCCAAATATGACCTTATTTAGAATTAGGGTATTTCCAATGAAACTAATCTAACTGATGTCCTTATAAGAGAAAAAGAACACACTCACGCATGTATGCACGCACACG